TTGGTACATTCTTGCAATGATCGGGTTGCAAAGCGACTCAAGCTCCTTCATCTTATCCTCAAACTCATCAGCCTCCGCAAGCTGATTCCCATCCAACCATTCAATAGCTTGGTCAATCGCATCCTCGATCTTCTTCTTGTCGGCCGCGTCAAGCTTCGATGCAATCTTCTCATCCTTAATCGTATTCCTCATATTGTAGGCATAATTCTCGAGAGCGTTCTTTGCATCCACCTTTTTCTTGTGTTCCTCATCTTCAGCTTTGTACTTCTCTGCATCTTGTACCATCTTCTCGATCTCTTCCTTGGACAGCCTTCCCTTGTCGTTCGTGATCGTGATCTTGTTCTTCTGTCCTGTAGTCTTGTCCTCAGCCGAAACGTTGAGAATACCGTTAGCATCGATGTCGAAACAGACTGTGATTTGAGGCACACCTCGTGGTGCAGGTGGAATGCCGCTTAGCTCGAATTTCCCCAGAAGATTGTTGTCTTTTGTTCTTGCTCTCTCTCCTTCGTAGACCTGGATCAATACACCAGGCTGATTGTCCGAATAGGTGGAGAAGATCTGCTCTTTCTTGGTCGGAATTGTCGTGTTTCTCGGAATCAAGACAGTCATGACACCACCGGCAGTTTCCAAACCCAATGACAGAGGAGTAACATCAAGGAGCAACAAATCTTGAACCTTCTCGTTCCCTTCACCGCTCAAGATTGCAGCTTGAACAGCTGCTCCATAAGCAACAGCCTCGTCAGGGTTAATGCTTTTGCAAAGCTCCTTCCCGTTGAAGAAGTCTTGCAAAAGCTGCTGGACTTTGGGGATTCTAGTTGAGCCACCAACAAGAACAACATCGTGAACATTGCTCTTGTCCATCTTAGCATCTCTCAAACACTTCTCCACTGGCTCCATACACTTTCTGAACAAATCCATGTTGAGCTCCTCGAATCTAGCACGAGTGATGGTCGTGTAGAAATCAATACCCTCATAAAGAGAATCGATCTCAATAGTCGTCTGAGCGGTCGAAGAAAGAGTTCTCTTCGCCCTCTCACAAGCAGTCCTGAGTCTCCTCAAAGCTCTTGGATTCCCAGTAATATCCTTCTTGTTCTTCCTCTTGAACTCCTGAACAAAATGATTGACCATTCTGTTATCGAAATCCTCACCACCGAGATGCGTGTCACCAGCCGTGGCCTTCACTTCAAAGATACCTTCCTCAATCGTAAGCAACGACACATCGAAAGTACCACCTCCCAAATCAAAGATGAGAACATTCTTCTCACCAACACTGGACGCCTTCTTGTCAAGACCGTAAGCAATTGCAGCAGCAGTTGGCTCGTTAATGATACGCAACACGTTAAGACCAGAGATGACTCCAGCGTCTTTCGTCGCCTGACGCTGAGAATCGTTAAAGTAAGCAGGCACTGTAACCACCGCGTTCTTAATCGGAGATCCGAGATAAGCTTCTGCAATCTCACGCATCTTTGTCAGAACCATAGAAGAGATTTCCTCTGCAGAAAACTGTTTCTCCTCTCCCTTGTGGTTAACCACAATCATCGGCTTCTCCGCCGGACCGGAGATAACCTTGAACGGCCAGTGCCTCATATCCGCCTGAACAGACGGATCACTGAATCTTCTACCGATAAGCCTCTTAGCATCTGCACAAAAACACAGACAAGTTGTTAGTACCTCATGACTT